CCCTGCAATCCGACCTCGCCCAAGCTTCCTCCGACCGCGACGACGCGCGCATGCGCCTCAGCACGGCGCGCAACGCGCTCTACGCGGCACGACAAGTCGAGCGCCGGTTGCGCGCGGAAAGGGATGAGGCGAGGAGCCAGGTGGATTTTTTGGGGGGGGAGCGGACGCGCGCGAAGCAAGCTGAGGCGAGGCTGAGGAGGGAGAGGAACGAGGCGAGGGTTGCTGTGATGGTTTTGAAGGATGGTGGGGGGGGGAGGCGGGGGGGGATGGGAGGGGGCATGGGGATGGGGGTGGAGAGTCAGGGGGAGGAGTCGGAGTCGCCGCAGGGGGTTGATCAGGGGTGAATGGAAATGAGAGGAAGGTTGGGGGCCGGGAGGAGGAGGAGGAGGAAGGGAAGGGGTTTTGATACCACATCGGACGTGACACATGGCAGTCAGAGGGCGGAGATGTGAAAGGATGGGGGACTGATGCCGGATATTGGCCATGGCACCAAGTGAGGAGGGACATTGCTGGGGTTGGGTTATTGAAGGGGGCCGGGGAGATTGATACCAGTCATGTTCTTATGTCATGTCAAGGTTATTGGAGTGTTCGATTTTTTTGGGTCTCTCTATCTGGGCTTGGAGTGCTTTTAGGTTTAAGTTTTGCTTTTGGGTTGGAGCTGGGGACACAAAGTGGTAATGAAGATGGATGGGTTCATGTATGTACGATGTCGGTAACGGGGCGTGCTTTGAATATGGATGGGTTGTTCTACTACGGTTGTTGGATCGGGGCTCACGACGGGAAAAGGGGGTTGGTTATGGTCATGGGTTTGCAGATTGATGGTTGAATAGGGGGAATGTGTAATTCTCTCTTGTATTGGTTCAAGGTGTATCGTCCCGGGCTTGTTTTTTGTGACCAGGTGGTTGTTGATATCAGTAATACCTGGGATGTAGGAAGCAAGTTGAAGTAGCTGAGTAACCGATCGAAGTTGTTGTAACTACTTGCGTAAATTGCATAGTTATTTTGGGGTATTACCGTTAATCAACACGACCAGGCAGTGTCTTTGTCCTTGCCGTCCCCCTGCCCTCGCCCATGCCATTGTCGTTCTCATCCCTCCATCAGATCATGTCAATCTCTTTGTTGGACCTTGTTCTACTTCATGTTGTCTACCCTGTCCTCCCTTGCCTCCAGGCCACCCCCTAATCCAACAGCAGAAACATCGTCCCGGCATCCACGTCCACCTCCAACCTGTTGTCCCAGTCCCGCATATACTCCCACCGGTTGTCTCTCGAATCCACCTCCTTTGTGAACCCGACCATGTCCGCCAGAACAGCCCCAAACAGCCTCGCCTGCGCGCTCCGCTGCTCAACCTTACCTGCGAGCCGCACCAAAAACGCCCGCTTCGCCTCCCGCACCCAACACACAAGGTCCCCGACCTGGATCCCCCCCGCCGCCACACCAACGCTCCGGATCGTGTGCCCCGTGCCGCTCTTGGCCAGGTACAGCCTGGGCTGTCCCGACGCCGCCAACCCCCGTACCAAATGCCGCGCCTCAGACGAAGGCGGCCTGCTGCTCGACCCGCGCCAGGTTGCCGTGCCGCTCCGGCTGAAGCAGCGCGCTTTCACTTCCCCGTTGGCAGACGACAACAGCATGCCCAGGAGTTCGTCATATTCCCGCCGCGCGCCGCTCTGCGAGGTACCTTTGAACACCTTGGCCAGCACACTGCACCACTCCGACCCCGCCGTCGGGCTGTCGATCACCTCATCCGCGTAGGGGCCGAGGCGCTTCACGCGCCCGACGGGGACGGCTTGTAGACGGAACATGGGGGGCTTGATGAGGAACTGGGACAGGTTGACAGGCCCAGGGGAGCGGGACGCTTCGACAGTGTGGTCAGCGTCCGCCATGAGGAGACGCTTCAAGCGGGCGCCGAAGGCGAGGGCTTCCGCGCCATCCGTGGCCTGCTCCGTGCGTGCGAGGAATTCCATCGTGTCCTTCCAGAGCTCATAGAGGGACCTGCGGTAGTCTATGGGGAAGCCGGCGCCGTTGCGGGCTATGCCGGCGAGCGCGTAGACGCGGTCGCGCGGGTTGGAGCACTCGGCGTGCTGGTGGTCGGTGAGCAGACACCGCAGGGTGTGGGTGCCGTGGTATTTCTTCTTGCGGAGGAGCTTGTCGAGCTTCTGCGGCGCGCTGCGCGTGATCATGCTGCTCTGCGAGATGAGCGCCATGAAGCTGGCCCAGGAGAGAGACTGGTCTCCGAAGCACACGGTCAGCTGCCCCGCGACCGACATCTCCTGCAGGATCCAGAGGCGGCCCCAGTACGGGTCGGTCCGCAGCAGGCTGGCCATCTCGATCTCGCGGCTGGTGATGGGGCTGGAAGCGTTGCCTTGCAGGGACTCCATCTGCAACTGCGCAATCTCCTGTTGCAGCTCCGTGTATCTGCCTGCCCCCAGCCACACCAGGACGGCGCTTGCGCGGAAGTAGATCTGGTCCATCATGCGGATCTGTTGTGTCTTTTCCGCGAGGTCGTCCTGGTTGATGCAGAGCGCGTCGATCCAATAGGCCCGGGGCGCGGCGCCTGGGACGTTCCGCTCTCGCAGGAAACGCAGGCCGTCCAGCACGTTCTTGCGGACCTCGAACGGGAAGCCGTTCAGTGTGATCAGGTCGGTCTCCCTGTTTGTGCCCCAGCAGTACGACAGGGCCTCGTACGTGGGTCGGCTGCCGAAGCTGGCCTTGCGGAGGGTGCAGACTAGGGGGCTATTCTCGTATTGCGCGGACTCGATCTCGAGGAGGCGGATGCTGTCCTTGCCGAGTTTGGATCCTTGGTAGGCCACGGTGCTGTCGATCTTGCTCGCCGAGGTGGGTTGGCCGGCCTGCCCGGCCTGCTCAGCCTGCTCAGCCTGTCCAGCCTGCCCGGCGCTGTAGCCTGGGCTCATGGTAGCCGGCAGGTGCACAAGAGACTGGTTCGCGCCCATGGTGACGTGGTGAGGCAGGCGTTGAGGATGAGGTGAGTGAGAGTTCAACACCGGCGGAGTGAAAATGCCGCAGGAAAGAGACAATAGGACGAAGTTGCGACGTGGCGGAGGAGAAAACGTGTTCAACGACGGAGCCTTGCGCGGGGTATTGTTTAGCCCGCTGCAAGAAGATAACGAGAGCCTACTTGGGCACCAGGCAATGATGGGTCAATGATTGGAGGTGATCCCAGTGTCATGGTGAAAAGGGGCTAGGGGAAGGAGGCACAGCAGCAGGTGGCATAGGCCAATGAAAGGGGAAAAAGAACGCCATCTCCAAGGCGATTCCGGACAAGTCAAACTTGGCATAGTTATACTATACCCCCGAGCCCGTTTATGCAGTACCCCCCTTGGCTAGCCTCACAGAGAAACCAGAACCGGCCACCCAACCTGCAGGATGATATGTGAGACCGTCCAGCGCCACTTGAGAAACAGCGGCCTTCGGAGCCCTCGACCAATGCCGCCCAAAATGTGACATAATTATGGTGAATGTGTTTGTCAACGACTACCTCCTTATCCATTCCAATTCTTCGCTGGTGTCTATCCTGCATCACGCTGTATTCCAACCCAACTCGCAGACAACGCCACCATCGCGGCGAGCAAAGCTACCCCAGAAGTTAAACACCAGCTCAGGGCAACAACAACTGTATCCTGGCCGTACCACCCATACTTTCTAGCGGGTTCAGATTCAACCGCCCTGGTTCCCAAGGTCGAGGACGTACTCAGACTCCCCGAGATCCTGCCCGTCCTCATCGTCGGTGGTTTCCCACTCGCTCTCCTCGCCCACCTCCTCCGAAACCCGATACCCCTCCTCCGAAACCCAATACTCCTCCTTCGCCTTCCCTTTCCCTTTACCCCCCTCATAGTCCACAGTCCACCCCTCCCCATCACTAACCCCCTCCGCAACCTCCCCCCCCTCTGACCCCATCTCACACCCCACCCCGTCAAAGATATCCGCAAACGTATAATGCGACGAGCCCCCCGCCAGGATCTCGGCCATCTGCATGTTGAAATGGTCCTCCCCAATCAGCCGGTACCCGAACAGGAACTGCCCCTCGGCGGGCTGGGCGGGTTCGGGCAGCCCGGGGACCACAATATCATCGTCGAAGAAAGCGCACAGGCCCATGTTGAGTTCCTCGAGCAGCTCGTCCAGGATCTCCTCGTGCGTTCGCGGGGGGAAGAACACGCCGGGTGGCAGGGCGTTTTTGTGCAGGCGCATGTAAGTCTTGGTGCGGGCGGCTTCGTAGTATTCTTCTTGGTAGACTGTCTCGGCGTCATTCAGCCACCCGCTTATCTTAGGGTTGGCCAACGGGATACCAGGGACAAACGCACCAACATAAGTACAACACCCCCACTGCCTGACATGCCTCTGCACCTCCCCATCGAGCGCCGCAAACTTGTTGCCGTATGGCTGCGCCGTGTGCTCCAGCAGCATGTGCGTGAACTGCATCACCTTGGGGTAGGCCAGCATGTTGAGGTGCAGCGCGCAGTGGTAGAGGACTTTGACGCGGCGGCGCGTGTGGACGCACACCGGCGTGCCCCGGTGCGCGCACGGCCGCACCCGCGTCGTCAGCTGCCGCCCACAGTCGGCCGTGCAGGGAGGCTTGACGAAGACGATGCTGTACGCCCGGCACATGCTGAGGTGGGCGTGGGGGGTTGGATGGGCGGAGGGGTGGGGAGGGGCATGGCGGCGTCGTGTGGTCGTTGGGGAGGGGAGAGGACGGAGGTGGGGTGAACAAGAATCACATGTGTGAGGAGATGGCTTGGAGATCAAAATTGTGGTGGAAGGTGCCGTGGTTGATGTTGTGTTTGGGCGGTCTGTTCCTTCCCAGTACCTGCCCCTTTTACCCCTTTTCATTGTTGACTTTTGAGAGAGAACCACCTCCTCCCCAATGCATCCCCTAGGAATTCAATGCCATGCAAGCCCGACAACCATGACTGCCATGCCCCAAACAAAAAGTGAATACACACTCAACGTGAGAGTGCAAGCCCTCGAAAGGGCAAAAGTGAAGCTGACAAGGGTGAGATTCGAACTCACGCCCCTTTCGAGACCACGGAACTCTGCGAGTTGTATTAAGGATGATTCCTTAACGTGGCGCCTTAGACCGCTCGGCCACCTTGCCCGATGCTTATTTCCCGAGTCAGGAAGTGAGGCTTTTACGGCGCTGGTGGGCCTCGCTTGTGTTGGGTCCTGAACCGGCAGGGCAACAAGGGCACAAACCCTCGTGTCCACCCGCTCCACCAAGAGACTTTCCACACCGATCGAGACGGGATACATAATGGGAACTCCCAACCCCTGCTTCCAACAACATCGGAAACCACATCTGATTCATCGGGTATGGTGTAGCGGTAACATCGTTGACTCTCACTGCTAAGCAGTGACTGCTCTCTCAACAGCCCCGGGTTCGACTCCCGGTATCCGAGTCACTTTTTGTCTTTTTCATCATGGTCTTCTCCTTTGGTGTCTGTGATCAATCTGCCATATCCTCTGCGTCCTGGAGACCCCCCCTTAGCAATGCCGCTCTGTAATGAATTATGAATTTGTCCCGTGTGCATGGCCCCGGCCGATTTTCTAAGGACGAATGGGCATTCTAGATACTTCACAAGTGTAATGGCTCAGTTGGCTCAATTCAAGTCCAAACGCCGAGTTGACGTCGAGCGTCCATGATATATGCCTGAGAGATGGATGGCGAGCAACTGAACTGGGTCGAGACGACCTCCACTAGCAAGACAATGCCAAATGACCTCAACCCTCGCGCTACCCTGAAAACAAAACCGAAAGTTTAAATTTAACCCCCCTCCTACCATGGCATGAAACAGAACCCGTAGACAACCAACGCCATAACGCCTCCCCCAAGCTACCACCCCCAAAACAACAAAGAAAAGCCCCAAGACCAATCCTCCCTCTTATCTCAACCACCCCCCCCCTCAACTCAAAACCTCAAATCAACCCGCCCACAACCCCCACCGCCACCCCCAACACAACAACCGCCATCCCCACCCTCCCCATCCCCCCAACAGCGCCCGAATTCTGGTCAGAAAACCCCGTGCTAAAGCGGTGGCCGGTTCTGCGTTTGTTCTTCTTGTTGTTGTTTTCAGGCGAGGAAAACCCCGTCCCGAAGCGGTGGCCGGTTTTGCGCTTGTCGAGGTCGGCGGGGGTCGCGTGGTAGAGTTCGGCGCTGGGGCCGCCACCGTTGTTGTTGGCTGCCTCGCGGGGGAGGAGATCCGTAGGGGGATCCGTGGGGGGAAGGGCGGTGGCGGTGGTGAGGGTTAGGAGGGTGAGAAGGGGGAGGGTGGGTTTCATTGTTGTGGTTGTTGGGTGTTGATTGGTATTGGGAGTGGCTTTGGTGTGGTATTGCGGGGTGTTGGAAAGGGGCTTTTGTGTGAGTTGGGAGGCTTGCTGAGGGTGGCTTGGTGGTACGGATGGCAGATCAGATGAGGAGAAAAGGCACGTCTTATAGATGGGTAATTTGTCCTCCATCTTCAAGCCGCTGCCTCTGGCTCCGAGGAATTAAGGCTTTGGTTTGGCCTGAAGTTGTGATGAAACGTGGGGGAAGGCCACGGAGAGGGTGTAACTATTTGGTGTTGAAACAAGCAGCCGATGGCCTGACCCAAGCTGCTGATAATCTGGAGGCGTGGCGATTTCCGCGGCCGAGAGAGGATCCATTTGGATTGGCTAGGCCGCGACCCGGGCCGGCCGTTTTGGGAACTGTAGCAGGCCGGGCCCGGGCCGATCTACGAAACGAGGGCGATCCCGTCCTTCTTGCCGGCCGGGAGAGGGGCCACCTTGGGTCTGCCGATTCAAAAACGTGAAACTAGACCCAGGATAATCAATTGTTTACAGTGGGAAGATTGCTGCTCATCCTCTCAACATCCTGCTGGGAATCTGGGCCCTGGAGCAGGTTGGATGCGTGGCCGCTGTGTTGACCGGGTTGACTCATTCTCGCGGCCCCTTTTGCGCATGACGCCGAAGGACTTGGGACAACCCGACCAAGCTTATGTGGAAATGAAGCGATTGGCAATCGGTCAGGCACACAGGCACTCTCGGGCCGCCAAAGCCCAATTTTCTATCGCCTCCCTCCCGGGGTCCTCAGCAGCGCACAGCCCCACCTCTTGGTGGAGCAGCGCACCCACATCAACAACAACAGCTCCCTGAACCTCACTCCACCAAAAAATTCTGACGAAAACTCGGACAAGAAAACTCTGCTATCCTGCCCCAAAACCAACAACAAACGAGTCAGCCTGCCCGGCTAGCTCAATCGGTAGAGCGTGAGACTCTTAGGAACTCTCCCATCTCAAGGTTGTGGGTTCGACCCCCACGTCGGGCTCAATTCCCGTCAGCGATCACCTCGTTTGGCTTTCTTTTTGCTCTTTCTCGCTTGCCCCCTCCCCCAATGTCACTCCTTCTTTTTGTTGTAGTGCTGCGTTATGTCATACCGCAACGACGGCAGCCCGGGCTGTTGACCATGTCAGCGTCCTCCCCTCTGCCCTTGTCATATCCTGGACTCACCGGCTCGTCCCCATCCTCCGCTGCATCCTCCCTCTGCTTCATCATCTTGAAAAACGGGTCCTTCTCCATGGCCTCGTCCGGGCCCGAGTACTTGAACAGGCGCGCCATGTTCTCCGACAACACGGGGTTGATGATGTTGCGCCAGATGCGCCGGCGCACCTCGTCGTAGACGTCGAGAATCGAGTCGTCCGCCTGGCCCGTGTGGATACCCACCAGGCTGTCGTACAGGCTGCCGACGTCGGCGATGCCGCCGGTGAGGCCGAGGCCGCCGCTGGGGGAGTCAGTAGACGTTGTCGTTTCTCGGACTTGGGGTTAAGGGGGCAACCAACAAGGGATTGCAGAGATGAGCTGCGTCGGCCGCGAGGATGAACCGGCCGACGCGCATCTTGTCGGCGCAGCGCTGGTGGACGCGGTACGGGCTGAAGTTGACGAGGGTGTACTGGTCGGGCGTCGGGTGGCCGGGAATGAAGGCCTGGAACTTGCCCGGCTGGCGCGCCTTGAGCTCGTCGTGGGTCAGTCCCGCCTTTTCGCCGTATGTGACGCGGTAGAGGCCGTCGGGCTGGATCTTGGCGACCATGTGCCTTTCGCTGTCAACGTGGTCATTCCCGGTGGGACAGAGACAAGAGGAAACAAAGAGGACAGAGAAGACGACTCACCAATGCTCCGAATGCACAAAAAACTGACTATCATCATACCCCCACTCCCCAAACCCATAATTAATACACATTCGTCGCGACGATCTGCTCCCCCCACGTAAACCCCGGAAACCCCTCCCCAAACAACCACTTCCACCATCCCCCTTCCAGCGCTGCTCACAATTCAATCATGTCAATCAAGTTAACCAATCAATCAAGCAATTATGGGCCTCCTGAGGGCTCAATC